CATTTATATAAATTTTCAAAAATTCAACTATTGTCTGTAATGCATATATACATATACGTATGTGGTAAAAATGTAAAACAAGGAAAGTTAATGATAAACAAAATTTGGGACAGCAATTACTTTTGAGAAAAGTTGGGAAATAATTATAAAACAGTGCTCAAGAAACATTATTATAAGGTACTGGTACTGTTCTGTTTATTAAATTTGGGGGTAGATATATGTGTCCTTTATTACTGTCTTTCAAACAGTACCTATATGTTAGAATATCTCACATGTGACATTGTGAGATAATAAGAAATATGTATTTCGGTCTTCATCCCCACCTCCTGGCCAGAGCTCCTAAAACCCTTGTCGTTTCCTAAGTGGTAAGAGAGACAGGAACATCTTTTGTTTTGATATTTGGTTTTCGTCCCCAGTTTCTGAAATAGTTCTGGAATGGGGCAATGACGTTGACAAACATCTTATGTTATCCACAGCAAGCCCCTTCAACCGCACTTGAATTTATGTTAGTAAACTTGTGCAAAGCCCCTAAGGATGGAAGCTGGTTGCCAAGGGAACCAACCTCAGGATCAGGGGGTTGGAATTTTCAGCCCCACCCCTCCTCCACTTTCTCTGAGGAGGGGAGAGGGGCTGGAGATTGAGCTCAATCCCCATTGGCCAATGACTTAATCAATCATGTCTACGTAATGGAACCTCCATAAAAACTCTCATGGAAGGGGTTCAGAGAGCTTCCAGGTTGGCAAACAAGAATGCATCTCTGTGCCGGGAGGGTGGCGAAGCTGGATAGAGCCTCTGACCCTGACACCAAATTATGTCTCAGAAACAGAGTTTTGGGTGAAGTAGAAAAGAATAGCTTTATTGCTTTGCCAGGTAAAGGGGGCCACAGCAGGCTAGTGCCCTCAAAACTGTGTGTCCCAACCCGGGGGAGCCCTCAGGTGCTCAGCATTGTTTCCCCAAACGACTGTACCACACCAGGGTAGCTAGACCCTTGGAACATAAGACTCAGTGGCATCCTATCTGAAGCCAGCCCTCACCCTCAAAGCCTCAAGCCCTGATCCTGAGCCAGGACCTTCAGCTTAGTTGTCCTCTGCTCTCTTGGTGTCTATTACTACAGGGCCTTCCTGGTGACCCCAGTATGGTTGCCTGACTTCAGATCTCAGGGAACAGCAGTTAGGGTACAGGTCCCTTCCTTTTCAGAAAGCACTTCCTTTCCTTTGCATCGCATGGAATATTATCATCTGGGGCATCTTCTTCCAAAGATCCAAAGGCTTCCATTTTGTCTTTCCCCGGGGCCAGGAGGCCTCTTCACCCTACAGTTCCATATCCTAGGGGTTCCAAGAAGCAGTTCTTCAGGCAACATAGTCATCATCCTCAACATGATGTTCAGACCCTGCCTGGTCTGGAGCATAACTCCTGGTCCAGGTGCCCCAGTTAGTATCCACCTTGCTTTTGGTAGACAGCTCAGTGTGGCCACAACCCAAATGAACTAGAGCCTTTTAGAGTGACACTGCTCTTGCTTTAACACCAATGGCTGCTCTGAAAAGAAACTCCATATACTCAACTCCAAAAGCATTGAAGAGTCAAGCAGGAGGTGACTGCAGCTCTCTTGAGCAGTGTTACCTCTCACAGCATTCCACACAACTCTGAAAATTTCTTTTTTTTTTTTTCTCCAAATCTTCTCATTTTATTTTCTTCGAGCTTTAATTTTGAAAATTCCATCCTACAGAAATTTCAGCATGATGTAAACTAAGATACCCATCATCTAGGTTCACTAATATCTCTTTGTCTCCCTGATCATTTGCTCCAGACATTGCAATAGTTCACATCTAAATACTTCAGCCTGTATCCTAAGAACAAGGATATCTTCCTATGTAACAGCAGAAAACTTGTCTCTCTCAGGAAATTAACATTGATACATTTGAAGTCAGGGAACCACACTGGGGTCACCAGGAAGGCCCTGTAGTAATAGACACATTAATACATTTTACAGCTGTGCTGGTATATATGCTAATATAATCAGTCTGTGTTTATTAGTGTGTATTACAGTAATTACTTTTCTATTTATTTTTTCTTCTGATTTAAAGGAAATTAGAATTACAGCATTCGGTGAGCCCATAAGCGTACACAGGCCTGAAGCTCTCTTTCTCCCTCTCCCCAAGTGTGTTCTTCCCCTCTCATCGCATCTCCAGGTCTACCAGCTCTCCACTTGAATCCCCCTCCCCTCCCTGGACGGCTCTCCATGCATCTCCCCGGCCTCTAATATCTTCTTGCAATAGAAACCCTCCTCCTCAGAAAGGGGCCATGGGATGGAGCCTGGAGTTTTCTCTGCCGTGACTTTATCATCTGAAATATGACCCCACAGTCTCTGACATAGTTTTCTTGCTATTGTCCTTTTCTGTAAATTTCATTTTCTTCACATTGAAGATTTCATGAGAGGAAGTCAGCTTACTCACAGCAGAAAAGACTCCGTTTTGCCACATAGAATACTTCAGTTGAGGCTGCGAATCTGCAAACTATGCTAATTGAGTACTGAGTTCGTTGACTGACCCTGTGAGTGTTCCTTCTTTGCAATGTATAGATGCCCAAGAATATTCTGGGTTTTTTTTGTTTGTTTGTTTGTTGTTTTTGGCACACGGCTTGCGGGATCTTAGTTCCCCAACCAGGGATTGAACCCGGGCCAAGGCAGTGAAAGCGCGGAGTCCTAGCCACTGGACCGCCAGGGAATTCCCTCAAGATGATTCTTTCATTTGTTTGTTTGTTTATTTATTTATGGCTGCATTGGGTCTTCGTTGCTGTGCACGGGCTTCTCATTGCGGTGGCTTCTCTTATTGCGGAGCACGGGCTCTAGCCACGCAGACTTCAGTAGCTGTGGCTCGTGGGCTCAGTAGTTGTGGCGCACGGGCTTAGTTGCTCCGCGGCATGTGGGATCTTCCTGGACCAGGGCTCGAACCCGTGTCCCCTGCATTGGCAGGCGGATTCTTAACCACTGTGCCACCAGGGAAGTCCCTCAAGATGATTCTTTACTGACATCCAGGGACAGCTGGGGTTTCTTCCAAATTCATCTGAGCTGCCATTTGTTTAGCCCATATTATGTCCCAGGCCCCCTGCAAAGCACTGTACATCATTTCTTTTAATCTCCACAAAAGCTCCTATCAGAGGGGTACTGTTGACCCTACTGTACAGGTAGAGCGGCTGAGGCTTTCAGATGTTTAAGTGACTTGCCCAAGCTCTGCTGTCATAAGAGGTGGGCAGGATTCAGACAAAACCCCTCCCACTCCCATGTTCCAGGGTGGTCTTTACTCTCGCCTGTGGGTTTGGAGATGAGATAGTAGATGAGGGAACAGGGCAGGGAAACCGGAGGTCTACTGGGGGCTCCCTCCCCTCCTGCAGAGGGAAGCACAGTGGAGCCTGTACTTTAATCCATTTCTTCATTTCAGGTGCTTCATGTATATAAGCAAAAGCAAAGACGTTTTTGCTCAGCCTAATTCTACCTAAACACAATCATTCTGCATTTAATCTTAGGCTCTCTGCCTGGGAAACAGTGTGTTCTGACTCACGTAACAGACATTTACAGAGCCAGTTTTGAGGGCCTAATGAAAGTCTCTGATTGTCAGCACTAAATATAATCTTTTAGAATGTGGCAACATTCTAAATTTCTAAAGTTCAAGTTACAAAATGAAAACCTCTTAGATGGGGAGAAAAAAAGATAAAGAAAAAACCCTGAAATACAAACAAACCTATGTCCTTTCAGTTATTAAAAAACAGCAACAACAACTCATTTCAAATTTTTCCCGTGTGTAGTTGAACCCTTCAGCCATTATTTGACAAACCAGTGTTTTTTTGGAGAACAGATATATTTCTGGATTTGCAGGACTATGTTTGTCAAATTCCCTGTTACCTCTGGAATAAAAGCTTAGGATACGATGCTTCGCTTCTCAATAAAAAGGACAGCAAGGGGGCTGATTCTTTATTAGGCATGTGTCCAGGAGCGCTTAGGAAACAGAAATAAGGCAGAGAGCAATTCCCTGAGGAACACAGCTCTGGACAGCCACACAGCTGCAAGTAATAAAAGCACCGGCTATAGGGGCTAGCGGCACGCGGTATCTGGGGAGAGGCTGTGACTGAGTCCCCTCTCACCGATGGATCACTGGGCCCACTGGGGACCCCTGTGTGTGCACCACGGCTCCCATGCTCACTTCAGGCCACTGTGCGCTCTGTCCAGTGGACGGGGTTGAGTCTTAGGCCTCTTAAACTAAGTTCGCGTGTGACCCAAAGTCTGAAACAAATATACATGATCCAAACCGATATAAAGAAATGAATAAACAAATAAATGGGAGAGAGGAGACAGCTCTTCCTTATAGAAAAATTCCAAATGCCACTCCCCCCTCCAGGAGATGGAGCTTCATTCTCTCCCTCCCTACTCCTGCGGAACCACTAGACATCATGCCCTGTCTCCAAATAATAGAGTAGCGAAGGGAAAATGAGTAACTTTGCAGTAAGAGAACTGCAAACACTCAGCCAAGTGAGGAAGGGTCCCATCACCAGAGATGCCACCTGGACGTCATATACCTCCTGGTAAAAGTGACAAGAATGGGACTTCACCTCTTCGGTATTTGTTCCAAAACCCATAATCCCAGTCTCACCATGAAGAAAACATCAGATGAACCAGATCGGATCCACACTCATCCCCCTCACGGCGGTCGAGGTCATGAAAGACTGAGAAAATGTCACAGCCCAGCGAAAACTAAGCAGATGTGTGAACAAAATGTGGTGTTGTCCCCCAAGTGGGATCCTGGAAAATCGGGTGAAATCCTGCAGTTTACTTAATACCGAAGTTCCAATATCAGGTTCTTAGTTTTGTGAAAGCACCATGGCAGCGCTAGATGTTGACAGAGGGAGAAAAACCCGGTGAGGGGGACACAGAAAGTCTGTACCATCTTTGCAACCTTTCTGCAAATCCAAAATTATTCCAAAATAAAGTTGTTTAAAAACACTGTTTGGTGCTCACTTCAGCAGCACATATACTAAAATCGGAACGCTACAAAGATTATCATGGCCCCTGCGCAAGGATGACTCATAAATTCAAGAAGCAGTCCATAGTTTTAACCCCCGCCCAAAAAAAAGAAAAAACCTTTTGCTCCCTAGGAAAAGAGTAGGTAATTAGGGCTATACTTTTTGGTATATTCAGTAATCCAATTCAAAATTAGATTCGCCTTCCCCATACTTGACTCATTTTGCAGCATGGCATTTTGATGTCTAGAGTTTTTGTTCTCTGTATGCCTTTTAAAGTCAAAATGCTTGTTCAAGCAAATAGCTGTTGATAATCTTCAAGCAGCTAAGGTATGCCCAGGCATGAGACTGGAGGGCAAACCTAAAGAGCTGATGCAACTTTTGATTTTAAAACATGTTCGTGCATTCTAGTTATGAATAGCTCTCTCCCCAGGGTGACAGCACTGCTGATAAAGGCTAGTGGTCACAAGACAAGAGCAGAACCAGTTGTGGCCAGAGGACTCCCGCCATCCTTCCAGAGACCCTCACAGGACAAAAGTAGGCTGGAATGACAGAAGGAAGGAGGGATGGCAAACTGGGATGCTCCAGCAAGGATCTCAGTCCCGTCCTGATATGCCTCCCAGCTCACCTTCGCCAATGTCTTGACTCTAATTCCCTGGAGATCCGTGTCCACCGTGCAGATGGCCCAGCCTCTTCCCTTGAGAGCCGCTACTGATGTCCTAGAGGTAGAGAGAGCCAGGGGTTCAGCTTCTGCTCCCAGGGAGGCTACTGGACAAGATGTGATTCTGCAGCTGGAACTAGAGGAACTCTTTCTCCAGAAACCACTGCAAATTTAGCTTCTTGGGCACCTTAACATAGCATTACACACTCTCACACATGAACAAAGTAATCTATGTAGGTTTAGGAAAATAAGCACCATTTGATTGCACTATTTCTCTCTGCAAGTGCATCTCAAATTCTGAACCATCAATTTATGACAGGTGATTTGGAACATTTAGAAGTTGGGAATTGCTTGATCAAATGAAATTATGGGCCTGAGACACTGAAAGGTGAAAGATATAGGCCTTGATAGGAAAATTAAAAATAACTCAGTTTCATAGAGGGAGGATTTAAGATGAAAAGAGAAAGGAAAATTGAGTCAAAATTGGGAGATCCTCGTGAGATTAGCTCTTTGTAATGGTAAATTCTGCAGCAATGCCAGGCAGCGGTTGAGTTTCATGACATTTCAAGGTAAAGAAGACATTGGGCAGAGCATGTATTTTGCATAATACAGGACCAAGACATGAAATAATTGGGCACTTTCTTATCATGGTGCCCTCTTTCAAAATGGAAATGTCTATCTTCATTTTCCCTCACGCTTTGCAAAAATGCATTTACATTTTTCATGAAAATTGAATAGGTATAAGGCCAATATCTTCCTAGGGTGAAAGCAGAAGAATTTGAATTACGTTGAGCTTTTTCTATAGGCAACTCCTGTAAAATAGAGTCACATTCACAGCCCGATGGCATTCACATATATCTGGGAGTGTTAACCATCTCTACTTCACTTGGCCACAAGAAAGCAACTCACAACTTAGGAAACTTTCTTCATCCACCAGGTAACTCCTTCTAAGTACATATTGAGTTTTATGCTTCTGAAGTCTTCTTAATGTCATCACCTGATCAGTACTCTCTGATAAGCTATAGGATAAAAATATATCATTGTGTTACCCAGAGGGGAAATTAAAGGGCAACTTTGATTTCCTGCAAAGAAAATAGATGACAGCTATTATCTAGGGGCTAGGACATACGTCAGAAAGCCCCCCTTCTCACCACTTCTGTTTCAGAGCTGCTTTGGAGTTGGGCAGTGATTAAACAATGGAGAGCCGGGAGGAAGCTGATCTTCTGATCTGCCATTTCCCCCGAGGTGCAATCACCGCCTTCTGTACTGGAAAATCATTGTGTTTGCTTTGCTGCCCACAGGCTATCCGAAGGTCTATAATGCAGTTATCCCACCAGTGCACCATGGCTGGACCAACATACATAAGAGAGAAAACCTTGCATCTTCTTTTCGCATGTGGGAAGAAACAAAATTCTCAAAAATCTTAAATAAATCTCAGATGCGCACTTTAATGTGAGTTTCTTATAGCATCATCTCCAATAGGATTAGGAAATCGGGTGAAAAAAGTCCCTTGTATGTGTCTCTGCCCAGAATCTTCTGATCCACCAGGTAAGCTGTTGACCAATGGATTCTCCTGGTATAGGAGTTCCCTTAGCCACTGCTCAGCAAGTCTTTCAGATCTAGGGAGAAGGAATAAGTCAGAAGCCTCTTTGGATAGAAGAACCTAATCAGAATGTTCTGACGTCATGATGCCTGCTGACATGCATCTGGGGATTGAAATGCCTCAGAATCAGCTCATAATCAAGCTTTTTCAAAATTTTGTATAATCCAAGCTCTCTCCACAATCAACAGATATCCAATTCCCTCTCCTGTTTCTTACGAGACCACAAACAATCCGGTTCATACAATCGCCACACAGACTACTGACAGGAAAATAAACGGAGAGGACATTTTTGACCTTTACATTGGTGTTTAGTCTGGGGATTGTTTCTTCCTCTGGGGACACTGAATATATGATCATATGCATATAATTATTATTTCATTTCTCAGCGTCAAGGATTCTGGGAATCCTCTGTCAAATTGTGTGTAAATAAAAGTCTTTCTACACACAAGGTCCAATCATTCACCAGATTTTCAAAGGGTCCTTTTATCAAAGATCAAGGATTATTATTATTATAAGGCACACCTCTAATAGTAATCTCTTTTGTGTTTATGTAATGTTTGGGACACACATGCACACACACGCGTACATATCTTCGGAGGACACGTTAGCACACATATGCCTTAAGTTTAACTGTCAAAGAAAACTGCACAGGTTCAGTTCTCCAGTACTGATTTCATTCCCGGTAATTCTCTTATTTTCCCCTCTGAAACTTTAGATTTCAAGATTCATTTCAGGTCTGATTAGGGAGCCATAATCCATAGCCATCCCTCAGGAGACACATACAGGGTAAATCAGACAGGAGCCCTCAGGTGTTTGCAATCAGCTAGCTCCCTGTGAAATCTGGGGCGCAGTGCCTGCACTGGGAAGTTGTGGGGATCAGAAGGTAATACCCTAGGCCGGGCTGAGACCGTCTAATCAGGAAGAGCAGGAGGCGGGGAGACAGGCAGTTACTGACATGGGAGCGGTGACTTTGGTCACAAGGTGCAGCCTGGTCTCCTTCTGTGGCCACTGGCAAGAGTCCCAGCTCTGCCTGTCCTGTTAAGGATGTTGCCTGTCTTTCGATAAACCCACGTGAACCCCAGCAGGCCCTCACTGGGTGTCTCGAGAGAGTACATTCTTTGTGGCTCAGAGAGCAAGCCTTCTTACGCCACCTCTAAACTACGTGCGCGACAGTAGAAGTCACTGATGGGGCATTGTCAAGAAGACAAAACATGACTGAATAAAAAGTATTATTTTACAGGTATTACTGACTTGACACATACAAATTTTACCGGACCTTGCCTATTTTTCTTAGTCTACGATTCCTTGTCTTCGTTGCATTTATGGGAATGAGCGTTTTCTACAAAGAATTGAGGAGAAGCTTATTACATGTATATAAAATGGAATAACAGTAAAATTAACATGTAAACAAATTCAAAATCAGGCCACATAAGTACATAAAAATATCGAACTAATGTGTGATGATTTTAATCAAACCTTCAAAACTAAACTTACATGAATTTGGATATTCACGATTGAAGCCAACTGTACGTGACACATACAGATATAATTAATGCCACTTAAAAGAACACACTTCCAATGTATAGACTCCAGTGTAGCAAACCATCCTTTCTAAAACATGCTTCAACCTCATTTTTCAGCTCGTTGAAAACTTCCTTAATTTACTTGTGCATTATTCATAAGTTACATTCAGGATCATTGATCCAAAGCCTACCCTAAAAGGAAGTCATAATAAGGAATTAATAATTTAAATGATTTTGAGTACATCAGACATAATGTTGAGGTCAATTATTTTTGTGCAGAAGGGCATTGTAGTCAAAATACCTTTGAGGAAAAAAGGTTCTTTGTCCAATACTAAACACGTAAGAGCCACTCTGATTATGTTCAATATTTTGGCATAGTGTCAAATTCCTGTGGTATTAAACATTACAGTGGGAAAGTATTTTGTCAAAGTGGTTTCTAAAACAACTAAAGCTGACACACAACAGACATGCACATACTGCTCTAACTTGCTGTGGAGAACGAGTCTTCTCCCTTCAGGGGAGAAGAAAATGAGCTCTGTCCCAGCTCAACTCCCTGGGACAGACCCGTAAAAGGGCCAAGGGATACGACCACAGGACACTTGGTACTCAAAGGATGCTGCAAAATCAAGTGTGATGTAGGTAACTGTGGGCCCCAGGAGATGGAAATCTTGGTGGCACCCCAGCAGCAGAAAATCCTGCTGGCAGCACTCAAGAATTACCTAGTAGGGCTTCCCTGGTGGCGCAGTGGTTGAGAGTCCACCTGCCGATGCAGGGGACACAGGTTCGTGCCCCGGTCCGGGAAGATCCCATGTGCCGTGGAGTGGCTGGGCCCGTGAGCCATGGCCGCTGATCCGGTGCGTCCGGAGCCTGTGCTCCGCAACGGGAGAGGCCACAACAGTGAGACAGTGAGAGGTCTGCGTACCGCAAAAAAAAAAAAAAAAACAACCCATTGAGTGAGCCATTCACTCATTCATTCAGCAGATGTCATTGGGAAGCCTACCATTTGCCAGACTTTCTGCTGGGTGCTGGGAAACACTGCCTGGGGGATAGAACCATACTGTCTTAGGAAGATTTCAGTCTAGTGGGAGAGAAAATGAGCCATTATAACTTAGTGTGATGAGCACTATAATAAATAAATTGGTTCAAATTAAGGCTCGGAGACCAAGACACAAGTCTTCTCACAAGCCCGGCCGAGCACAGATCAGCGGAGGGACCGTGTGAGAAGCCACCATGTGGAGACCTAGTCGTACTCACACTCATGTCTGATCGTCGGCCAGACCGTTCGTACCCAGACTATTGGCAGCAAC